CTGCTGCTCATCCGCACCCACTGCTGCCATGCTCAGGTGAGGTACCTGATCTCCCATATCACGGAACCTCTCGGCTTTGCCATTGTACTTCTCCCGTGTCCTCTCATTGCTACTCTCCAACTGAGTGATCGAATCACTGTATCTACCAATCAACGACAACTACTGAGTGATTGATGCAAGGTAGACAAGACTTCTTATTTTGCTCCTTCAGTGATTCCAGCCTCCTCATGAGCTCTCCTTTCTCGTTGACGTATTGCTCCTGCTCATACGCTGACCCATCACGCATGGCCTGCAGGAGGATCGGCACGCCCAGTATGAACGACCAACCCGACGACGCGACTACCTCGAGCCTGATGAGCTCCTTCCTCTCCTCGTCACTGAGCCTTTTCAAGTCCTCAATCTCCTGTGTCATCTTCCTCTCAGTCACCTACAGCAATCGCGGGTGCGGTAGCGGACGACTATTCAGAAGACCTCATTGTGTCGGCACTGCTGCAAGAGCTCTGTATTCCGCTTCTTCTCAGCCCTCAACGCCGTCTCTACCGAGTCCATCTCCGACTTGGCCTACCCATATTGCTCACATCCTTCCATCGCTGTGACGGCACTCACTTGAGCCTCCATGTTCCTCATAGCTGCAACGATCTGGTCCTGCTCCTGTACGATTTGTCGTAGCATTTCCATCACTCGGGCAGCCTCGTTATCGGTGAATACGACCTACCGAAGGGCCCTCCCATCCCCACCGACAGGTAACTCTTCCACCTGATCCTCGCCCAACTTCTTAATCCTCTTAAACTCCTCAGCAATGCCTTCTAGTCTGACTTCCTCCGCTATACTGGTCTTCTGCTCAGCCTTCAGATTAACGATGGCCTCCTCCTCACTCTTGACTAACACCACCAAGCTGATCTAAAGCATAGGCCTTGCCTAGTACTCATAGTCTTTATATTCGTATTGGTGAGTGCAGCCTCCGTTATATTATCGTCATGTTGCTGTAGCTGCACTCGTTGCTCTCTTTCCTCTTCTTGCAGAACTCTCAAGTTGTTCATATCACTTTCATATCTGCTCTTTGTCCACATCAGATTCACCGCAGCCCATCAGTGACATTACTCTTTCTCAACTGCCTCTTGACTCTGTTCATAGTCTCGTACAGTAGCACGTGCTTCATCTCGTTGTTGCTCGATCCGTGCCAGAGCAGTGACCGCCTGCCACATAGGACAGTGCCCAACCTCCGCAGTCCGCCCTTCCCCCTACAGCTGCGTGCTGCTCTTGTAGGAATTTCACCTCATTCACTCTGAATTTGTCACTAGAATCCTCGCCTATCAATGTTGGGTGTTTCATCATCAACAGATGAGGAGCTCCACAGAACTCATGCCTGTTCTATAGCAGTTACTACTCCCCTTCATAGCGGTTATTGTATCGTCGCTGGCCACCACTCCTCTCTAATTTACTTAACGAAAAGCATCGTTGACACTATCTCAACATGACACTGTACACCACTGATATTAGGGCCTGCTATTGCTGCAGGCATGGCCGCCGTCATGAAGTACTCCATATCTACTTCTCGAATTCGCACACTGACTCGTAGGTTGGTACCATATACCTGATAGATATCATCAGTCAACATCAACATAGCTGAGAGACAGTCATACTTGATGTTTATGAAGGCATCTTCGCCACCGTGAATCTCAAAAATCTCCAGA